GCCTAGAATCCCCCAGTGAGGGGCTGGGGGCGTGGCTCAGCGGTAGAGCCCTGCCTAGAATCCTCCAGTGAGGGGCTGGGGGCGTGGCTCAGCGGTAGAGCCCTGCCTAGAATCCCCCAGTAAGGGGCTGGGGGCGTGGCTCAGTGGTAGAGCCCCGCCTAGAATCCCCCAGTGATGGGCTGGGGGCGTGGCTCAGTGGTAGGGCCCCTGCCTAGAATCCCCCAGTGAGGGGCTGGGGGCGTGGCTTAGTGGTAGAGTGCTTCTCTAGAATCTATCAGTTAAAGAGAGATTCAGTCATATGTTTAAGTTCACATAGCTCAGCCCCTAACTAGGGAACTCTAGGTAGGCGCTCAACTACAGAGTCATATTCCCAGCACCGTCACTAATGAGTTCTAGGTAGGTTCTCTAGTGCTGAACTACATTGCCATTGTCGGGAGGTGGATGGATGGGTAAATAGAGAAATGGAGAAAAATTAGTGGTGGGTAGGTGGGTAGGTAAATGAATGAATGGATAAATGGGTAGATTAAAAATCAGTGGATGAGTGGATGGTGGCTGGAGGATGAATGGGCAGTTAGATGGATGACTAGGTAGGTGGATAGAAGGATAAATGGATAAACGGAAAGCTCAGTAGATGGATGGGTGGATGGATGGATGGATGGATGGATGGATCTTTAAGGGGTAGATTAATCAATAGATGGATGGAAGTATAAATGCATGGATAAGAGGAGCGTGGTAGATGAATAAGTGAATGAATGAATTTAGGTATGAATGAATATATGCATGCATGAATGAATGGATATATTCATGAATGAGGATATATTCATGAATGAATGAATGAGTAGACAGATGGGTGAGTGGATAGGTGAATAGAATGAATGAGCAGGTGGGGGATGGAATGGGTTGATCGACGAATGGATAGACAGGAGTCAGGGGAGAAGACAGATGAAGGCTCATTGTGTGGAAACTAGTAGGTCACAGTGCAGATGAATGAGAGGATGCTCAGTGGGTGGATGAATAGTCTGGTAGGCATGTGTGTAAGCATTGTGTGGGAAGGGCATCAGCTTCCAGCACCAGTACCCACATTTGCCCAGGCTTGCTGTAGTTTGAGAATCTTGCCTATTTCCCTACAGGGCCTTGGCCCAGAGCTCAGAGGACAAAGGGTTGGAGCTGCTGGAAACGAAGCCCCCCAAGCGGTCCCCAAGACTAGAACCTGGAAGCCTCCTGCTGCCTCCGCTCAGCCTGGTAGGCTTAAAGATTCCGGTTGTGTGTGGGAGGGAGGGTATTCTCCAATCCTCTGAACCTAGCAGATGTAAAACCTCCTGTTCTATAGATGGGAAAACCAGAGAAAGCCAGGGGCTGGCTGAAGGTCAGATTGAAGATCAATGGTCCAGCTAGAGACAGGATGTTGATCCTCCCGGTCAGCTGAGGGGCATGAAATGCCTTTGCAAACACACACCTAGTGCCAGAAAGAGACATGAAGTAGGCCAAGGGCAGTGAAGCGGCTCATCGGATGAGGAGGAATCTTCTCTCCTTCCATGGTCCCCCTCCAAAGTGAGAACAGCCTCAGATCAGGAGTGCCACTGTAGTGTTTAGAATAAATACAGGAGCCAAGTGTGGGGGCCATGGCCCAAACCCCAGCCCTAGGGAGACTAAGGCAGGAGGATGATCAGATGGAGGTCAGCCTGAACTATCTAGTGAGATAGTGGTGAGACCCTATCTCAAAAGACAAAGCGAGAAAAATATATCTATTGTGCACAACAGCAAAATGTGGTTTATTCCTTAAAGCTACCCTGGGTTGGATGACTTCCATAATCCCTCTGTGTAATGCCTATCTCCTACAGGGCTTCTCTGCTCCATAGTCTGCAAGAACTGTTTGAATATGAAGGGTGTGACTAATAATATCAACAGCTCACATTTACTGCTGCACTAAAGTACAAGATTAACTTATACAGTCCTCCTGAGTGTACTTCCGTAGTCTTTAATAATAGTCCATATCATTATGGTGGGACAGTCACACAGAAGTAAAGGAGCATTATCCGTCAGTCTAGACAGCACACTTAGATGGGGTGCTGAGAAGAATTTAACAGCAGGACTGTTGGTGGCGTGAGTACAGTATTTGCAGTCAACAGAGCTGCTGTAGCACCCAGCACTGCCCCAGCCATTAAGGGCTAACACCTTCCAGAGTGGGACACAGCCAACCCGAAGCACCTCAGTGGGAAAGCGGCTAGATGACTGCCTTCCTCCTCACAAGGGTCTGCTGAGTCCAGCAAGAAAACACGGCAAAATTGCACAGCAGTGTGGTCAGCCTCCTGGAGCATGGAGGTGGAGAAAGGAGGAAGGACCACCCAGAGGATGTCCAGAACACTGATTTATCCCAAAGTCTCGCAAAGGACTAGTACTTACCAGACTCCAATTAACCACTGCACCATACTGCCTTGTCAGACACTGATGATGATGATGATGATGATAATGATGATGATGATAAAGACGCTGTTGATGTTGATTCTAATAATGGTGAGGGTGTTGCTGCCGCTGGTGGTGAGGCCGATGATGGCGACGGTGTTGATGATGGTGTTGAAATGCTGACAGAGCTGATAGGATGATGGTGGTGCTAATGGCTGTTTGTGGCTGATGATGATGCTTGTGGTCCTGAGAGCGGTGTTAATGGTGTTGATGACAACTCTGTCTCCCAAACTCCCCAGAGTTTCCTTCTGCAAGGTCGACAACTCCCAGGGAACCAGCAGGATCCCAGAGCCCCACTCCTGGATTCACGTGAGCCCTTGGGTGAGTCCTAAAGCCTGGGTATACAGAAACGTCAGGCCTCTTCCTCCCTGGATGGTTCCGTAAATAACTGAAAGAAGAATGGAAGTACCTTAGGGGAGGGAGGGAGGGAGGGAGGCAGGGAGGGAGGGAGGGAGGGAGGGAGGGAGGGAGGGTCTCTTAGTTAGGGTTATTTTTCTCTGTGATGAAACACCATGACCAAAAGCAAGTTGGAAAGGAAAGGATTTATTTTACTTCCACATTGTAGGCCATCACTGAGGGGAGTCAGAACAGGAACTCAAGCAGGGCAGGAACCTGGAGGCAGGAGCTGAGGCAGAGGCCATGGAAGGGTGCTGCTTACTGGCTTACTCCCCCTGGTCTGCTCAGCCTGCTTTCTTATAGAACCCAGAACCACTAGCCCAGGGATAGCTCCACCCACAGTGGGCGGGGCTCTCCTTCATCAATCACTAATTAAGAAAATGCCCTACAGGCTTGCCTACAGCCCAGTCTTTTTGTTTTGTTTTGTTTTGGTTTTTTGTTTTGGTTTTGGTTTTGTTTGGTTTTGGTTTTTTCGAGACAGGGTTTCTCTATGTAGTTCTGGCTGTCCTGGAACTCACTATGTAGACCAGGCTGGCCTTGAACTCAGAAATCTGCCTGCCTCTGCCTCCCAAGTGCTGGGATTAAAGGCGTGCGCCACCACCGCCCGGCTCTACAGCCCAGTCTTAAGGAGTTGAGGCTCTCTCCTCTGAGATGACTCTTGCTTGTGTTAAGTTGATGTAAAACGTCCAATGCAGAAGGTGCCCACAACCCTTTCCTCTTCTCCTGAGCCCTGAGGAGAGAAAGAGAGATGCTAAGGAAGGGGAAGAACTTATGAAGGCTACCCCTTGTAGTGGAAGCCGAGGTCTCCTAGGCTACCCCTTGTAGTGGAAGCCGAGGTCTCCTGGACCCAGATGCAGCTCCACTTCAGGGCTTGACCAGGTTAAAGTAACTCCACACGGTAACTCCCAGCCGTGTGGTTTGGGGACGGCTGCTTGTGAAGCCTCCGCTCCTCTACCTGTCAGTGGAGTCAATGACTACAGTTTTACCTTGAGAACCTGTTTGGAGACATGAATTGTGGGGATGCTGCATGGGCAGAATTCACCCAAGAATTGTTAGTAGTAAGTGTTCAAGAAACACTTCCTCTTGTGGCTGCAGGGTGGGGCAGTGCTGGCTCTGCAGCCTTTAGGCTTGTTTGCCTTTTTATGGTGCTCTTCCCTGCAGCTACCAAAAGCTTTGGCTTCTCTTGGAGCCTCAGGTGGGTCCTGGGGATCAAACCCAGTGGTCTGTTCTTCCCTTCCAATCTACGGCTTCTAGGGCTCAAACTCGGATTGTCAAGGTTTGCAGCAAACAGCTGTACCCACTGAGCCATCTTGCCAGCCTGTCTCCCTGCTTTAGATGCAAGTACATCATGGGTGCCGGTTCTCTGCTGATTCACCTTCCCTTTCTCTGCAGGCCTAGCTCCCTCGCTGCTCTCTCTCTACCAGCATGAGGAAACTATCCAGCCCAGGAACCTCTTCCCACCAGCAGCAGGCTTGGCCCAGACCCACTGAGCCAGCCTTCCTCTCAGCCCTCTTCTTCTACCCCAGAAAGGACTCAGCCACACTCCACACCAGCAGCCTACACCCAGGATGGGGCCTCTCTCCTCTGAGTGCGCCCCCCAGCCAGCCACAGTCCTACCTCAGCCCCCCAACCTTCTGCCTTCCCCCAGTCGGAGGCTTCTTGGGTGTTCTCAGCTCAGTGACCTCTGGGAGGGGTGTGTGACCCCCCCCCACCTCCTCTCAGGACTTCCTTAGTTCTCCATACCTCACTACCCCTTTCTCTGACTCTCTTTGCTTTATTTGGGAGGATGAGGGGTTGGAAGAATCAGGGATCCATCTCTGATCCTGACCCCGTGGAGATTAGGCAACTGTAATCATGGGTTTTGGTGTTTTGTTTTGTTTTGTTTTGTTTTGTTTTGTTTTCCCCCTGTTCCTCTTCTATCAGCTTTACTTTGTCCTTTTCACAGCAGGGCATTCAGTCACTCTGCATGCACAGACCCACAGCAATTGCGGGATGGGACTCTGGTCTTCCTCCTCTTCTGTGGCAAATGTGGGGAGACTCTAGGTCAGATCTCGCCTCAAGCAACTTACGAAGTCTTAGCCTTCCAAGCTGCCCCCCAGCTCTGCTTGTCCCTTCTGCTCCTGACTTCCTGCTGGCCCCTGACCCTGCCTGAATGATGACTTCATTTGTGATCTTCCTATATTAGGGGGAACCAGCAGCTTCCTCCACTCCACAGACTCATAGTCTCTGGCCTTCTCTGGATCTTGAATCCTTGGCTCTCGCCTTTACCGTCTGTAGACTGTATGACCTCTGGTCTTCTCTGGACCTAGGCTATATCACTTTCTCTCTTCCTTGCATCTAGTCCATGCAGCTCCTGGTCTTTGTTCTAGATCATATGCCCTTGGACCTTCTCTGGTTCTAGAGGTCTGTGAGTTCTCTGATTCTAGACTTTCTAGTTCCTCGTTCTAAAACATATAATCCCAGGGCTTTTCCCTGGCTTTCTGACTCCATACTTCTCTTTTTATGTTTCTAGACTGTGAAGCCTGTGAGCTTCATTGCCTCTAGACTGCACCACCAGTGGTCTCCTCTAGTTTGAGGCTCATAACCTCTGCCCTTCCCTTGTTCTAGACACTGTGGTCTCTGGCCTCCATGGTTCTAAACTGTGTTATTCCTGCCTTCTTTGGCTCTAGACTGTGCAACTTCTGACCTTCTCTGGTTCTAGTCTGTACATTCTCCAGTCTTTTACCTGACTCTAGATTGCATGCCTTATGGCTCTGCTGTGGTTCTAGACCATGCTACTTTTCTGGCCTTTTCTCTGATTCTATACCACAGGCCCTCTGGTCTCCTGTGGTTCTAGACCAGTGGTTCTCAACTTTCCTAATGTCATAACCCTTTAATACAGTTCCTCATGTGGTGGTGACCTCAGACTATAAAATTATTTCATTGTTACTTGTAACTGTAATTTTTCTTCTGTTATGAATCATAATGTAAATATCTGATACACAGGGTATCTGATAAGTGATCCCCAAAATGATCACAGCCCACAGGTTGAGAACTACAGTTCCAGAACAGCCTATGACCTTTGATTCTAGGTTATGCTGCCTCTGATCTACATCGGTTCCAAACTATATGACCACTAGCCTTCTCTGGCACTCCCTGGTTCTAGACTGTGCTATCATTGACTCCCCTGGTTCTAGACTGTGCTATCATTGACTCTTCTGGTTCTAGACTGTGCTATCATTGGCTTCCCCCCGGTTCTAGATAGCATCATGGTCTGCTACAGACCTCAGTTTCTTCCAACCCCTCTACTTCCACATCTCATAGTCTTTAGTTCTTTCTTGGGCTAAAGCAGGGTTTGAATTACATAATCTGTAAGGCTCTCTGGATCTAAAGCCTACAACCACCAAGAATCCTCTGGCTTCAAGACTTATTCTGTCATTTCCTCTGTTTCTAGGCCCCTTCTTAAAAATCCTCTGGTTCTCAGGCCCTCTGCTCCCTCCCATTGCAGACCATTGATGTGTGCAGTAGGAAGGATTAAACCCAAGAGCTTGTACATGCTAGGTAAGCACTCTACCCCTGAGCTGTATCCCCAGTCCTTTCTTATGTCTTATTTTGAGACAGGATCTTTATTGATTGCACAGACTAACCTTGGACACAAGTCTGTAAACCTATGCAGGCCTTGAACTCATGATCCTCCTGCCTCAGTCTCCCAAGTAGCTGGGAATTACAGATCTTTGAGACTATCTTCAGCTAATCTTAAAATTGACAATTTCTTCTTGCTTCTGGATCCCCCAACTCCAAGCTTCTTATTAGTTCCAGTCTTCCCGATCTGTAAGATATTTGGTTTCAAATCCAGACATCATTTCTAGATCATTTTGGTTCCGACTCTATTGTTCTCTGCACTTGAGAATTCAAGAATTGCTTTCCTCCAGTGAGGAAGAGCAAAGTGAGTTTCATGTCTTGAACTTGGATCTGTTCCTTCTGGAGCCAGATGCCATGTGCCCATTCTCTTGGGTTCCAGATTTCATTACCTTCAATCATTATCCATGTTTTAGATTATGCAAACTCTAGACCTCAAAACTTCCAGGATCCTCTGTTCTCAGAAGACCTGGTGATCTGCCTATTACTGAGCGTCAAATATCAAGGTGGGCAGTGGTGGTACACATCTTTGATCCCAGCACTTGGGAGACAGAAGAAGGCAAATCTTTTTAAATTTGAGGCCTGCTGATCTATAGAGCAGGTTTCAGGACTCCAGGGGTAAGAGGAGAAACCCTGTCTCAAAAACAACAAAACAGAACAAAACAAACAACAACAACAAAAGCAAAGGACATATATCTTCTGGGGTTTGTTACTGTTTTTAAACAGTGTCTCAAACTCATTGACCATAAAATTGCTATATAGTCAAATGATCCTGAACCAGTGATACCCCTTCACCCACCTCCCAAGTGCTGGGATTACAGATATGCCCAGTTTTATGTGGTGTTGGGGATTGAACCCGAGCCTCATACATGCTAGGCAAATACTATACAACTGAGCTACACCCTGCCTCTATAAATGTCTTCTGCTTCTAAACCTTATCCCATGAGTTCCTTTGGTTCTAGGCTCCACAACTGTCAAGTCCTCTTTACTTCAGATCTTATGACTCAAAGTACCCCTGAGTCTAGAACATGGCTTGAAAATATCATCTAATATCTTGCCTTATATATTTCTCTAGTTCTAAACCTTAGAACCCCAACTCCTGATTCTAGATTTTGAGATCCTAAAATCCTTATTGACCAGAGATGACCTTGAACTTGTGACTCTCTACCTTTCACCTCTCAAACACTACAATTACAAGTGTTCAGCAGCATGCTGGCTTTGGTGGTGCCAGGGATGAACCCAGCTTTGTGCATGACTATGGCAAGCACTCTACCAGCTAAGATACAACCCTGTCTTAGGCTTTTTCTGATTGTGTCACTCTGAATCCCTGGGGTTCTAGGCCTCCTACTTTCCAATTGTCCCTGGCTTCTGATCCTACTTCCTCAGGCTGTAGAATGCAACCTTCAAATGTTTCTTGTTATAGAATCTAGAACTCACTCTGTAGATTTCTTTGATCCAAGATCTCGCACCCCTTGACTCCTTGGGTCCAAACCTAATCCGTCTAGCTCTGTCTGGGCTATCCAGCCCTCACTGAACTTGTCTCAGTTCTTAGCCCTCAAGTCTTTTCATCCCACATGCTCAAGCCTCTCCTGTCTCATAGCCCTAAAAATTTTCTACCCTGGAACCTCTTTCATACCCCACCCCAAGCCTCCAGGCATGCATTTAACCTTAACTCTACTCCAGGTATCTAGGGACCTGGGGCTCCTTCTCCTTCCTAGGGGCTCCATAATCCAGCCGCACACCGGCACACGCACAACCCTATCTGCATATCTTGGGGTGGGGAAAGAGGGCAGGACCCCTCAGCTGTCTCCCACCAGCTATGCATCTTCCTAACCCCCAGCTCCCCTTCTACAATGGTGCTACTCTGGTCTTCCACAGGAAAAGGCTCCCATCTCTACTTTAATTCGCCCCTCTTGGGAAGGCACTATTCAGTTTGTCTTGTCAAGAGGTGGCCTGTTCAGGTGCTACAGGAGAAAGGGCCTGAATTCTCTCTCCCTTCGTGGGTGTTGTGGTCTAGGAGAGAGGGAAGGACATGGCCCAGCCATGCTTAGCTCAGACACCCACAAGTGTCTCCACAACTACCATAAAGACCTCGCCTTTATAGGCACCAAAGAGACCTGTGTTGACTCATCTGTGGGGTTGATTTGGAGGTTGTGTAACTGGGATTCCTTGTTTGTTTATGGAAAATGAGACAGAGCCTATTGTAAGCTGGGCTAGCCTCAAACTCACTATGTAGCCAAGGATGACATTTAACTTTGATCAGCCTGCCTCCACCTCTTAAGTGCTGGTATAACAGGGGCGTACCACATCATTTACCTTCCATAATACTTTCTGATGCTCTCTCGCCCTCCTCCCTCTCTTCTCCCTCTCCCTCTCCCTCTCCCTCTCCCTC